CAATATAAAAGAAAAAACCTTAACCTAGAGGTCACGCAGGAGATTGTCAAATGCAACCCTACGCAACCGTGACGTTTGATAAAGTACCAAATCATATTATTTTTAGAGAAATAAAACAGCAAATCTGTAGAAAAAAAAATATTTTCAATAGATTTCGTTTGGATACAGGAACTTGTTTGTTGTGTCCGAATCGTGGTATTTTTTACGACCATTTTATTATTCCTCGAATCAATCTGTTCTGTTCGACTTACTAAATCGAATGAAAGCTCTTAGAAATACCATCAGGATAAGCTATCATTAAGGTTTATACTGGTTCCATTAGACAATCTACATTGCTTAACTTAAGTTCAAGAGGATTCGATCCAGACATGACAGAAATATGAATTATTACTTTATTACTAACAAATCACCGAATTCGGACACTGCGATATACAAACTTTGGAGTTTGATCTGACATTGCTGACTCTTATGGATTCTAAATATCGAAATATGCAATTATAAATGCAAATTAATTTATTTGCATTCGTAATATCATGAATATTAATTCTCAAAATTTCCATGTTATTGCCAGTAATTGGATTGATTAATCAATTTCTGCTTGCTGCTCTCTATAGATTCTTCCCGTGAGGTCTTTTTCAATGTGCAGGTCTCTATTTATGGAACCGTTTTATATTTCCTCGTCTCTGAAGTTGCATGATGATTAAATCGCAGAATCATTCATGAATAATTTTAGCGACTTTATTAAATTCAAACGTAACAAATTATCCCCTAAATGTTCGTAGGTTTTAATTAAGACCTACCTAATAATTTAGTTTGAGCCGGTTTGATCGCCTTGGAGGCTTTTATAACTTTCATTCAAGTCCTTGTTAACTTAATAGTGATTGAAAAAAATATAACCCTTTTGGTACCGCTTTTATATTCAACAGCAAAAAAAAAAAACTGAAAATAATGATAAATAAGAAAATATTTTTACTTATTGATTTTTTTTTAAAAAACATTTATTCAGAGATATTACAATTTGTAACAATTAGAGACATCTAAAATTGTGTTCAAAGAGCACATTCACACTCCATTCATAATGAATAAAAATAAATAATACAGAAAAATAATAATACTAAAATTTAATGTATACAAACTAAACTAAACAAAAAGAAACTAAGCCAATTTATTGATTTTGACACTTTATTCTGGTCTGATAGTGACATTAAAGGTCTCAAATAATATGTGAATATATATTTGACCAAAAATTGTCCTAAATATGAGTGGTATGAAAATGTGAGAAAATTTTCCAAAGAATCGAGTTAACTAACTTAATAGCTACATTTTGCACATTCTTTTTTTAATTTTATATATTTATTAAAGATTTCATTTTACACCGTATTGTAACGCATCAAGCAAATGTGTTTATTCTGTCTTCTTTTATTCTTAATCCTTGTTTACAATGTCAGCAGGAAATCTCTAGGCCTTTATTTTATTTATACGTACTTTTTACTTTCCTACTTATACCAGGTAAGGAAAGTATTGCGGTCAGGTCAATACCGATATGTGGTTATTGACTTATCTAAAAACATTTTAGCCTGTTTTTTGCAAGGTAATGAAATTCTCTACAAAACTATATAAACCCCGTTCATTTGGGACAACTATTATTGAAGTTACAGATATTCAATTTTCAATGTAAGATTAAGGGTACATAGTATGGTGTCAGAAAGGGATGAATGAGAGAAAGAAAGATAACTAAGTGAGAGTAAGAAATTCTGTTGCCCGCATCACACCCGCTTCACTATTTCCTATACTTTTAACAGAAATTATTGTTTGACAAAACTATTTTTATAAACAATTTTTGATCAGCAATATTAGAGGATATTGAAAGTTTTACACTGATCTACCTTAAGCCGGTTTTCATTGCTTTAGTTTTTCAAATGAATCGTTCTCAAATCTTTTCTTTGATAAATTTTCAGGAAAATAAATTCATTTTTTTTTTTTGTTTCTGTATGGACATATGTAAAGATATAAAAACTTTATCCTCGAAACACATATAATATAGATTGATTTCTTTCTTCCAAATGACGTACAACTAGCTCGGCTTGAGCAGGCATTTAATTCTTTAAGCAGTGTGATAAGTGAAAGTTGAGTGATCAGATGTTTTAATAATGTTTTCGTTTCTTTTAAGAAAAAAGAATTTCATTTTCTCAAATCCGATACGTAACGTTCTAACGCGCCAACTCCATCAAATTTAGATTGACACAGCTTCTTTTGAATTGAGAATAAAAACAAAATTGCATTTGAAGTCTGAGAATTATGAATTCCGACTTTTTTGACAGGGATATTGAAACGTCAGCAACTTCTGTTTCTCACTAGACCCGGTTTTCTTAATCAAATATTTCCACTTCTAAACACATCTGACGAAATTCATAATCCCATCAGATTCTGTGTCTGTTCCTTTTAATTGGAAATTTGGAATTTGAGTATACTGACTTGAATCCAGAGTCTGTTTCTGAATGTAATCCAGATTAATTAATCCTTATAATAAATAAACAGGAGTGTTTCTGAAATTAATTTCTGATAATGAAATTCATAATTGTTCAATTTATTATAGACATTACAATAGAAAAACGATAAAGCTTTCTTTTAAAAACTTTTTAAAACCTTCGTCTAACGATTTAACTATTTAAATGATTGAAGAATGAATTCCACAATATTACAATGTAGTATCTATTAAAAAGAAATGTTTTGTCATAACCGCCATTTTCAAATTTTATATAATTTTGTAAAATCGTCTCATTTGATGTTTAGTTCGGTTCGTTTTTTATAGAACAATGTTCCATTTAATTTGAAATTATTGTGAAGACTTCTGCTATATTCGGTAATTATTATTAAAATTCCCAAAGAGATCTCAAGGTGACGAAGAATATGTCTGAATTTCTTTTTAACATATTTATTGAGAGATATTACAATCTGTCTCAATTAAGGACATTTATAATAGTGTACAAAGAGCACATTCATACTCCATTCACGGGTATGAATTATGATAAATTTCTTCAATTATCAGGGTTTTCAGAGAAGCATAGAATCAGATAATTTGATAACAAAATAGAGAAAAAGGTGGTCTACTATAATATGGGACCGTTTATTCTTAATAATCTCATTATTTTATCATGTTGTGATGAAGGAATTGATTGACCTTCATCGCAACATGACAAAACAACAGTCCGAAACAGCCCAATATTTTTGTGGGCCATCATATTTTCTTTTTTTTTTTAACCCGATAACAGATTTGAGATGATTTAAAAAGTAGGAGTTCGCGACCTGAGAGGATTTTAAATTCCCCGCCCTCTCCCCTCCCCCTCTACCCCCGGCCCGGGAAAATCCCGTATAGCCTAAAAGGTGAGGTAGGGTAGAACAGAAAAAAATAAATAATGAAATTATTTTTTTCTATTGATATATTTTTTTATCGATTTAGTGATAAAATTATATTACGATTCAAATAGAAAGCAAATGGGTGTTCATAGGTTTTTAGCACCTAATTAAATAGACTAACTTTGCCGATCTCTAGTTTTTTTTTTCTGTACTTGTTTATTGAGAAATATTACAATCAGTCTCAAAGAATTAAAATTTTCGGAATTAAAAAATTTGTAGGTTACGATGAGATGAAGCTATTGATAAAATTTTAAGCAGATGTTAATAATTTGTACCACGACTAACAAAGGAGGTATACGTTCGGATTAGTAATCTTAAAGTTCAACTGTAAGATAAAAATAGGTCCTTATTTTTTTTTCCAGTGCCCTGAACACAGTGTTGTAAAAACAAGCCTCGAGCATCGAATATTATATTTCTGAAATATAATGTGAATATATTATTTTTCAGTTGGCAGTAACAATGTGAATATATTTTCGAAACATAATGTGATTAAATTAAAAAAAAAAAATTGGTAAGTCTCGAACCGCGAATCGAACCTCGAACGCCGAGCTCTAAGGACTCGAGTCTTGGCTCGAAAAAGTTCAGTCTTAAGAGCTCAAGCTTTATAATCTTCTAACCTAGCTCTTTTACAACACTACAAAGATGTAATACTGCTAACAAACACCATTTAGAACAGTTTACAGTTATTATAAAAGAGAGTGACAGAATCACTATATTATCATAAAATGGTGCTGAAAAATTACATTGGGTTGCTAAAAACACAGCATACTTAATAATCACTACAATCAATTTTTAAGATAATGTATGATTATATAGGATTAACAATATGTATGAGCATAGTATACAATATTTATATATATATATATATATATATATATATGATTATTTTTATTTATTTTTTAAACAATTTAAAAAGGTCCATTAATAAACATGTGGGGAAGAATAAGTAAGATTCGAGCCGCAACTCTACCCTTTTCATGCCGAGCTCTTAGGACTCCTGTCTTGTCCGGTCGTGAAAGTTCGGGCCTCTTCGGTTCTAGCCGTATAGCCTTTTACCACACTACCTGAACAGCTTGTCTCAAAGTTTAATAACCAGATCGTTTCTTTCTGGAAACATTAATTTTCTGGAAGATATTAATTTTCCATTTTATGAGTTGTTTTTTTTCAACATTAAATGCTCAAAAACGTAAAGTATAAACAAAAGATGTAAAAAATCTGAAGCAAAGTAACCTTCTTGACAGCATTTGAAACGGTCCCATTTAAAGAGGATCTTATTTTTAATGTTATAACAAGTGAGAGTAGAAAAACAAAAAAAAAAAAAAAAAAATGCCTACGAAATCCCGGTTTGGACGGAGCGGTTGAAACACTTTCTGGAAGACAGGAAAAAGACTCGCGGCGAACCCCTAATCCAATACGTCAATCAAACACATCTTATGAATATTCAGATCAGAATCCTGTTAGTGGCTCCCAGAGGGGATTATAGTTTTATCGCCAGGCCATGACCGGGTCTCTTCGGCGGGGGTAAGTGAAATAGGACCTGTCTGGGACTAATAACACACTTAGTCCCTATTAGAGGAGTGTTCTCCACTGTCCGAAAATTCATAAATCATCTGTTATTTATTAATGGAACATTTTATTGCTTTTAAGTAAATATTAATAAAAAAAACCACATGATGCACAAGTTTTATTGAGAAAAAAAAAATCCATTAGATTTTTATCCAAATTATTAGTGAACAAACTTAAATACGAACAGACAAGAATACATTACATAAACAATATCGTTTGAGTACAGGTGGCGTCAGATTTGATCAAGACAGAGGAAATGCACTGGGTGTATATTTGTAAGTTATTTCAATGTTTTTATGAGTATAAATAATAAAATATATATTACATATTTTGCCGTGCATCACCACAAACCCGTCATAAACATTGCATCCACCGGTCAAGAAATAGCATGACTTTGTAAGTACCTTTCATGACTTGTATTAGTACGAATTTAGTTTATGGTTTTTTAATTTATTGATCACGTGTTTGGTGAAAAAAAAGGAGAAAAACAAGCATATTTGTATTTGTATTTTATAGGGAATGGAGAAGTCCAATGAGTTTGCTCCTATTCATATGTTCGAAACCTACTGTTGCAGAGTCGAAAGTCCTTCTGGGACACTTTTTACCTCAATAAAACGGGTAATGTTACGTTATTAAGGAGGAAATCCAGGAGGTTAAGCATTATTTGGACCTTCTTTCCCAACCGTTGACCAAGAAAAAGTACTGGGTTGTAGTGATGCAGATTGTTGTATATCTATTTTACCAGATTTCACAGGAGCCAAAAATGTATTGTCAAAAATATAAGAATAGGGTTATATAATAGTTAATTATACAACCACTAAAAAGGGTTGTATGTTGTTGTAAAAAATACCACGGACTAATAATACTAGTTAACTATGACAGTACTACTTTTCTAAATTAAGCATACCAGTGACGATACTTTTTTTTCGTTTCATCTTACTAACACGGTTAAGATACAATTTCGGAAAATAGTTCGTTCCAAAGAGGATGAAGTGCTGAACATTTCCTTTGCTTACAATATGCAGGTCTGATTTTTTACTTTTTGAGATATATATCTTTAATAAAACTCGTTATCAGTTGCTTTTCGACACTATTTTTTCCTTTTCCTCTCTTCAATATAGCGTCGCTTTAAGATACAATTTTGAATAATAGCTCATTTCAAATAAGATGAAATTCTGATGATTCGCCTAGCTGACATTATGCAGATCCGATTTCTAGTTTCTGTGGTATTTTAATCCAAATACAAAAACATTTCGAAAATTCACTGGTGTGTTTATAGTAGAAAAGAACCTAAAAAGCTTTTAATTTATTAGAGTAAGCATAATGTTGACCACACTCTCTTGTATGAATACCGAAAGGTCTAAATTTTCACAAAGCAATTTAATGGGATCAAGCAAATTAATTTATTTTTTGCCCAGAGAGGGGTTTCATAGCGCAAATTGCTATAAAAATTTTTGAAGAGGCGCATTTCGACGTCACGAATTTTCGAAATGAAAAGTTTCAAACCAGAATACAAGGGGAAGCATGGTACAGATCGCAGGATGGTTAATTGAATATAATCTATGATTTTTTAAATGTTACTTCTTCTTGCATGTTTTTTAAGAAGATGACAGTAACATATCATAGAAGTGGTAGGGAAAGATCCGTGCGCCATCGACCATGGGGAGATGGGCACCCCTGTTTGGTTAGATCAGAGTTTTGTAAAAAGTTTTACAATTCAACCATTGTCTTACACAAATGATAGGTGTAGATTCTATGGGTAGATTACGCGAAATGTAATTCTGATGCCAACACTTGAATCATGGGAGTAACTTTACGATTTATTAATTAAATACCCCGGGTATCTTAATCTTAACAATTTAAATTTGAAGTGCTACAATTTTCATTTTCGAACACATGATTATTAAATTTCTCTTTCTCTTCTTCTGTATTCTAATCCTTCGCTGAGTTCCTGCTGGCACTCTCCTTTAAATTAAAGAGGTGTACCGGCAAACGTGTTAGGCCTAGCTTTATCTGATTAGGACCGCTTAAATAAAAAAAAATTTCTCCTCTTACGCGATGTGTGTAACCTCATTTTCGCTGTCCTTAGATTCTTGTTCAAAGCCTTTTTTTCTAAATTTTTGAATATATATACTATATAAAATGTTTGAAACATCTGAAAGTCAGTGATTTTCTGAAGATGATAAAAGAATAGTAAATTTATCTTTTCAAAATATAATGGTGGTTTCTTTGGATGGTACTGATAAAAATATAAAAATATTCTTAGGATTATTAATGACATTGAAATATTTTAATTTTTATTTATTTTTTTTTAATTCTATGCCTAACATTCTGTTTCAATATATTTTCTTTATTAACTACAAGGGTACGACTTGGATGTTCTAAGACCTAACATTTATCACAATTTCTATGTTTATCATTTCTCATGAGACTAAGACATTTCCAAGTAGATTCGGTACTTTTTGTCCGCATAAGTTTATCATGTTCACCTGAATTGTCGTCAGCCCAGAGTGTAGCTTAATAAAATTTGTTTCAAAAGAAGTTGGAGAGTGGAAACTTATTATTATTTTTTCATCATTTCTTAATGATATTTACAATTGTATTAAATAAATACTAATCTAGTAAATTTGAACTTATGGATATAATTACATGAAAACTCTTGCTGAGTAACTACCCAATGGTAGCACTAATGGTATGTCTACATTAGGAGATCACGGGGCCATCTTCTGTTCAGACACCTCGGAGGGTTTTTAGGAATTGAAGAGGAAGCAAGGTTAGAAACGAGAGGGTTGAGATGAAAAATGAAAAAAAAAATTAAAGACGGTGTTACAATAAAATCATATTTTATAAAATAATTAACTCAGGCTTAGAAAAAATATTACCGAATTTTCGCTAATCAGAGGAGTGCTTCTTCGTCAACGTCAACCGGACTTGAGCATACTAAGAAACCGCATCATGATACAAAACGACTGAAAAATGTAAGCAACATGCCACTTTAAGGTTGTGAGGAAGTAATCATTTTGTTTGACCACTTTTGGTTTGCTTTTAATTTATTTATCTTCTAATCGTTCCTTCATATCATTTAAAACAGGCTGGTGATCCCAAAAAATATATAAATATAAACGATAACAAGGAAGATCAATATCAATAAGAGTTACAATTTACGTCACATCGAATATGCATGGTACAAAATCCATGATGACTAATATGTTGGATTTAGGATTTCGTAAATACATACTACTTGTAATGCAATGAGAGCGTAGTGCCAAGAAAGTTGAGATCAAAAACCTGTGAGGACAAAGGAACTTTAGTCTGATAAGATATTTTTAATATTACAAATAGTGACATTTGAATATCTAAGACTACCGCAGGTTGTTATCCATAACCAGGCTATTGAAGTAGCGAAAGTGAACAGTTTTATTACTCACATTCCACGCAAAGACGTTCAATTTACGGAGTCACATCTACTGACATTAATATACCAGATTTATGAATATTACTAGAAAGGAAGGACTATTCAAACCTAGTTTCTGACTTAGTTTTTCATTCAATAATTTTCTTCCGCTAGATTGGCTATTTGGGCCCACTCCGCAGAGAATAGATTTTTAGAAAGAGATTGACATGTCATAATTTTCAGAATGTTGACAAATCTGCAGTGATAGTACTCAAAAGACTCCTCTATTTAATAAATTACTCTCTACCGAACCTCCACACCCCCCCTTAACACCTCATTACTTTAAAAAATGTCGGAGTGATCGTGTCTGTATCTGGAAGTAGTCATTTCTTGAAAAGCCTAATTGTAATTAGTGAATTTTACTCCACATCGCCTTACTACCCATCAGTTAAATCTGTTCAACTAAGGAATAGGGTTATGGTCAGACTTAACTTTTCGGATGATATTTGAGTGGTACAATTGCTGTTTTTTTTTTTAGGAAATTCCGTAAACTTAATTGTGGCAAAAACCACACAATATCGAGAGAAAAAACTGTATATTTTTTTAGTTATTTGGAATCAAATTTTACTATCCCTCCTAACTTTTTTTTCAGCTTCTTTTCGTTGAAGTATTGGATAAAATGCGTTGACGGCGAACGGACCAACAAATTTTTATTCGATTTTCGAATTTTACGTATCCTGAAACGTAAAACTTAAAATTTGAGGGTAATTAAGTTTTCGAATATTTTGCTCGATTACAATGGTTCATTATTGATAATAATAAACCAAAAATTGGTAAAATAAAAAGAAGTATTTAGTTAGCCTTTCCATGATTAAGTGTATTTTGCTTTTTCAGAAATAATGAATTCGAATATGATGGGAGACTTCGAGGACGTGGGAGACGACCTAGTGGACACGGACAGCTTCGTCAACCACAGGGGCGGCGGCGAGGAACCATTTTACGCTCATGATGAGAACGATTCAGATTCTTCAGGAGACGACAATGACTTGGTAGTGCTTGCCTTATGGTTCATTTGCATTATAAGTATTTGCATTATTCTCTGCATGCACGTTCTATACTTCCCAAACGACGCGGAAGACATACAATTTTATAAAGAACCCATATGACTACTTTAAATTTTACATGTTAATAAATATTCTTTAAAGCCATCATTTTGTTTGTATGAAGGTTGTGTTTTTGTTTTTCGTTCTACTGCAATTGTTTTTTGTTTTTTTTTTAAGTAAATCAGATTAATATTGATATAATTTTTATAAAAAATTGAAAGAATTTCTTGTAGGCACTAGACTGGAGTCATGCTGATCTTAGCGCAATTATGGATGAACTGGAACTAATGGACGGCTATAATGAAGATGAACAAAAAGATTATGAATTTCTGGATTGGAACGTTTCTGTAGAGGGTCTGGAAAACTCGGAGGAGTCCGATGAGGACGAAGAGGGTGCCGGCGGAGACCAAGGCGAAGAACATGCAATCCTCAACACCAACTGGGAGGAGTGGTGAGTTCGGATACCTTTATAGCTGTACCTTAGTACAATATATCATAACTACATTATACATTTGTAAAGAAATCTTTTGCTTTTGATAAGCGTGGAACCTTGGATAATTAGAAGAAGATAATAAATAGATAGGATAAAGATAGGAAGATAATTATTTCATAATTGATGAAAAAACAAAACAATAAATCCAAAATCGACAGCCACCCTGCAAAGTCTGTAAGTACAATTTTATTAGAGGTGGTCTTTTGAATTTTTCCGATTAATCCTGATCTCACGCGTATTCAAAAATCCATACCAAAACCCTTATTTAAAACATCACATATTTATCTTAAGCATGCAGTAAAAATTGAACGGAAAATCTGGCTCTTAAAATAAACAAATCGTGGTATGTTTCGATGAATTTTAATTTTTACGAATTAAATAAGAATAACTTATGCAGTTTGTTGGTCCAAATCTTCATTTGCTATACTCACTGCTCAGCTGCACACTTTCACAAGTAGAAGATAGACAATCTTTTTTCATTTTTTGTGCACACAAAGTGGATTAAGGATTTTTCCCATAAATAAAAATTAGTTTGTTTATGTTTACTAATTTTTAGAACTGAAATTTAAAATATGATGGGTCATTCTTTTTAAAAGGATAATTTTTTAATAAATTATCTTCACCTGTTCTTATAAAAAACATACAGCTCTGTTTCTTGGCTTATTAAAATGTAGTATACCCTTCATTTATTTTGCCAAAAAAAAAAAAAAAAAAATTGTATCTTTAATTTCTCTTTACTCAACATCCGAGGAATTTCTTTCTCAGGAAAAAATTCCAGTGGTTCTCATCAATGGTCCTTAATCCTCCGGGTGCATAAGGACAACTGTTCCGTACATAATAAACGATAAAAATTATATAAGGAGCTGGTCGGGGGCTGCGTCCAAATAAATACTATAAACTAGAATAGTATTTTATTAGTCACGTCGACGATTCTACCAACTTTGTAGGTTTTCATCATGGCGTGGTATCAGGCATTGGAGGAAGCAGTTGGCAGACTGGTAATAATAAAAATTATAAAATTACTAAGTTAACAAACAAAATAGTATAATTTGTCTCATTTCACATCCCTGTAGGTATGATTATCCATATGGTCGTGACTTCGTTGAGGACTTCCACTGCCTCCAGAATAGCAGCTTTGACGTAAGGGACGATTTACTGAACATGCTCGAGCTAGCAGAGAGGTCTTACAGAAGCCGGTCGGATCCTGACCTTGTGAACTCGTCTCTTCATCATGAAGTTCAAGAGGCAATCAACGATATACTTATCCCAGGGATGTCGAGGGAGGTAAATTCATTCATATTACTCTTTCTTTATTTAGTAACTATTGGCAAAGGCTGATCTACGGAGAGGGGGAGCTTTCGGGCTGAACCCTCTCTCCACAAAATGGTAAAATGTAACCATGTTTTATGAAAAAATTATTTAAAAACTATCTCTTTAACCATTATTGTTCATGTAATTACATTTAATAGGACTTCAAAAATTATTTAAACACCATTTAATGTTGGTAGTTAGGATATTTATTTTTTTATCAAAGTAACTATCGTTATATATATGAAAAAAAATGGTTTTCGGTCTGAAGCTCTGTCCTTCCTAAAATTAAATTCTGGATCTGCTAGTGACTATTGGGTATCAAAATAGATTCAGGTAATTATTGATAACATTTTCTCCATATCGAGCAGTTATCCTTGATCAAATGTATGATGAAAATAAATGTGTTTGTTCATTATTAATATGGGGTGTTACAGTGGGTTAGGAATAAGACTCTCAATTTACGGGCTTAGGTATAATTCCTAAAATTGTATTTTCAGTTCATCCGTGACTTAAATCTGTGTTCGGGAAGCCAGTCTAAAATATAATTGGGGTGCAGTATATACTTGGGGTATTGTAGTGGTACAGTTTTATATTTATGTTTGAGATAAATATTTATTTTCTATGTTGATGAATCTCGTGATTCAGTATTAAGGTGTGTTAATACTTCAGTTTAAACTATAATTTAGAGAAACTATGCGGTTTAGTACTTCAGATAAGGTTCATGGTTCTTAAGCCCATGACATGTTTTTAATAAGTTGTATTGAGTCTGACTGAAAAGTAGTGGGTATTTTCAATTGTTTTTAGTCATTTTTTGGAATTTCTGAATTTAATTTTATTTAAGAAAAAAAATACAATCTGCCGCAATCTAAGGCATTGAGTATTATGGCTCTCAGTTTACATTCATACATTTTATGTACAAGTTAAAATAGTAATTGAAAAAATAATCAAATAAGAAGAAAAAAAGTAAGTAAAAATATACCTATTAAAATATGAAAAAGAAAAAAGTTGCAAAAAATAAAAATAAATTGAAAAAATAATAAAGAAAGAAAAAAAATTATTTCTATGTACAATATTCACATTCAGCCTTGGGAACCCTTAACCATGCCTTGCGGATCTCATCTGAAATGCATGAAAGGCAGGGCTCAGGAGATCCCAGCGCTTCTCTCCCAGCCGCATCACTGTTTAAAAGTCAGTGGAGACTGAGTGAGACCGCTAAAGCCAAATACGCTCAGGACTTGAGTGGAGCTGGCCACTGCCATAACTCCAACTGTATATTTATAAAAGATATCGGCGCCATTTCCATTCCAACCGCCATTTCGTGGGAGATTATGCTGGAAGTTTGTTTTTTTGGAAAGTGGCATTTTCTTTGGGTTATTTTCTAAATCCCCCATAATTTGCAACATATTGCCAACGCAATAATTATAAATAATGAATAACTAATTTAAAATTTAAACTACTGATATTTGTATGGAAAGTATGTTTACTGGTATGTTTTAAGTATAAAAACAAGACAGTCTGTGATATACGTTCCATCTTTCTTACACTTTAGCTTGCACTGTTATTAAAAAAAAGGAGAGCAATAAAATATTTTTTTGAAACGAGGGGAGGGATTTCTTGTGCCATCGACCTCGAGGAGGATAGGCACCCTTGTTAAGAAATGTAGCAACAAAGTATTGATTTTATCTGAAATTAAAACATATATATTTTTTTTTTTTTTTTTTTTTGAAACGTGTATGGAATGGACTGAATATGATATTGTATGATTATATGATAATATAATGTATTGCTTATAAGTATTGATGTGAGTATTTCATGACAATCACAATATTTTTTTAAAACTTATTTACTGAGAAATATTGCAATCTATCTAAATTAAGGGCACAAATAACAATGATATGTTGTAAATCCACATGCATACAGTATGTAAATTCAAAACTTCATTACCCACTCTATATGTCATATCTGAAAATATAATTTAATATCACACTGACGATTTCTGTGATGAGAACTGTTATTTAATAAAGTACTATTTCTGGACTTTCAAGACAAATCGTACATTTTTTCTGGATTTTTTATAAATTCACAGAAATCAATTTACTACTTAAAACTTCAAATGGTTAAGCAATTGTACATTGCATAGATTCTAAATTTTATTTTTTTCAAATTTGTCGTTTTTGTACCAACAGGGCTTAAGACGACTCCATAAAATAGTTCTCAGGGAGCCGTCGCTTAATCTAAGGAAGTATTTGACGAATGCTGATCCCTACGTCCTTGCCTATGTCATTTGGGGACTCAACTTTTATCTCAGTCGCCATGCGAAAGGTATTATACATTTGTACATTTCATCTTATAAATTTTAAATAGTTGGAAACGTATCTCTATTAAAAGAAAATAAGATCAGTGAGAAACAAAAAGAAGCGAACAAAAGTTTTTAACTTTAGAAAGAGCTTTATGAAGGAAGAAATAAAATAAAAATATGAAATTGGACATAACCTCGAGAGAAAATAAAAGCGATGAAAGTTAAATAACCTATTAATAACCATTTAATATATTAAAATCTAATTTATTTTAAGAGGCAATTAAAAGTTAAAAAAAAATGAAAAACAAGAAATATTATCGTTTTAAAATTTGGTGGATTTTCAGCCTCTAATATGAATATTTTCGATAGATTTGAGGACAATATAGGTGCAATGTAAAAAATAAAAGAGTGTTAAAGAAACAGATATTGTGTACATAAAGTAATGTGGAGTACTGAAGATAAAGTAATAGCACAATTTTTAAGTTTGTAGACCCAACGTTTATATAGCTTCAAGCTTACCTTTATAATAAGCGTTCTGTGGCTTTGGAGTATAAGCTAAAAAATGTCTCTTCAGTATCTCCAGAAGAAATCTTGAAATCAATTATCGACTATTTTATTCCTAATTTTTTTTAATTCATGAAATCAATTATATTGAAATTAAAATACATCCAGTAAATGTAATAGAGAAATATATTGATATGAAAAGACTGGTAGAGAAACCACCCATTGGTAGCATCCTAATAAAATTACTAAAGTAGGAGATCAGGAGGCCATGTTCATTACATACTCCTCGGAGGGATTGAAGAGGAACCAAGGTTAGAAACGAGAGGGTTCGGATGGTTCTGAAGTTTATTATGTAAAGAGTAAAGATATATATTAAATATTTATCATAGAAGGGTCGTTAAGGATGAATTTATTTGTGAAAAATTTAAATTACTGTTTTAACAACTTGAAAAAAAAACTTTAATATATTTTTTAAAATATGATGATCTAACCAGTGAAAGATACAAACCTGTCGAATAAGAATTGAATTAAAAAAAAACAAAGAAACATTCCACTTACGCTCAAACACGGTGAATGTGTGTGAACTAAAAATAATGTAAGCACACAAGTTATATAGGTACGAAATAAGGTGTGTGCATGTGTGTATATAAATTTACACACATATATACCTAATATATTTTCACGAAATAATAACAGATACGACAGAAATGGAATTCAGTAAATTCCAAAATTAGACATCGTATAAAACAAACAGTTGAAAATGTTTTAGCTGTAAGTTCTTGTAAAAGTTGTGGAATAGTGTTTTCCAAAATTATAAGAAACAGTTATAACTTCTTATCAGAAATAAAAAAAGGTTTTCCCGTCAAAAACGTGTCAATCAATTTTTTATTACAATTGTAAATAGTTCTTGTAAGCTATAAAATCTTTTAGGTATTTATATAAACTTTAATTAAATGATGTTGTGTTAATAGATAAGTGGAGGAAAAATTTGCCAAGAATCGTTGAATGCGGAACACAACCCTCCCTGGCAAATAATAATAAGGTCAGTGATTTATTTTACTACCCGTTAAAGCAAACAATACTTATCAGCCATAAAAATAGCTGAGTAACTAATTGTAGGCCACTCAACACGTTTCTCATTAAGATGGCTTCTAGGAAGAAAATAGTAACAGCGCCAATAAATGCCTTGATGGCTTTCACGATGTTGAAACGATCTTACACTTATCTCTTTAAGAGTAATAAATATATCATATTTATCTTTATTCAGTCAAATAAAATACATCCAATACAAACCCTCATAAAAGGTATAAATATAAACATCTTATTATCGATGATGAAGATATTATGGATGTACTGAAAGTATCTACTAGAATAAAAGTGATTTCTTGGTTTGACGCATTTATAGTACGGTAGTGATAAATAAAAATAATCACGAATGATTTTCTAAACTTTTAAAAATTAGTTTAGTTTAACTTTTCAAAGTTATCATAAAATGGTTTTAACAATGATAAACTCTGCTTTCATTTGAAGTGAACTTTCTCTAACTTACTGTGAAACAATTGTTAATTTACTTAAACCAAAAAGTTTCTGAGTTGTCCCTTCCTATTCAAGAAAAAATATGACTTGAAAAACACAAAACGCAAATATATTACTTCTGTGTGAAAATTCGAACTAGGTTACATGAACTTTTTTACAGCACTTGATGTCTTCTACTATCTCTTTAAATTCCCCTTTACGAAAAAGACAAATAAAATATAAATATAAATAAGTGAAATAATAATATTATAAGTAGGAAAATAAAGATTTACGAAAATTCAAATTAAGTTAAATAAATGGCATACATGATAGCACACTTATACAGGGTGCCCTGAAAGCAAGGGGGGGGGGAATTTTATAGGAGTAAAAGCAGACATCAAGAACAACAAAAAAGTTTATACAAACAATTGGTGAATTTTCAACAGAAAAGTTGGAAATCCAAGTTTTTATTTAAGTAAGTCATGACGAGGGGTGCCCAAAAGGGGATTTTACAAGGGGGGCATATATGAACAGGTTTTTGAATTTTTTGATGGGGGCATATTTGAACAGGTTTTTGATTTTTTGATGGGGTCATATTTGAACAGGTTTTTGATTCTTTGATGGGGCATATTTTGAAGGGTTTTTGATTTTTTGAGGGGGGCACATATCAACAGGGTTATGAATTTTCGGAATGAAAAGTTTTAGAATAAGGCACAAGGAGAAAACATGGAGCAGACTGGAACAGAGTGGAACATGGAACAGACTGCCAAGTAATTTTATATGATCTACGATATTTATAATTCTACTTTCCTTTGTTCTCATTTAATGAAAAGTCCCGAAAACAACTCCTCCATGGTATTTTCTTTTTCAAGTCCCCAGAACAAAAAAAACCTCCCTACATCCTGGAAATCCTTACTCTATTTTCCTCTATCCATTCTCTTAATATCAGGTCTCAACCTATAGATTTATATGTCACAACCCATAAAACTAATTCCTTCAGCAAATCCTTCATCATTCGTGCTACCTCCTTTTGGAACTCTCCTGGATACGTCAATCCTCTTCCACAAATTCCTTCAAACAACTCCTGTTCCACCACTTGCTCAACATTCAAACTTCCGTTAACATGTAAAATTACTCTGTATAATGTTTATTTTCAATCTATTGTCAATTTGCAATAACAATCAGCAGTTAATTAATTTGTATTTTTTTGTTATTTTAAGCCGGACTAAGCCCGTACATTTTTAACTCTGCTATTATCCTTTAGAGACTGTAGTCTCAGAGTAAATTTTTTTTTTCATTTCATTTGAAACAGAGATAGATTAAACACGACGTTTATTAATAAAAAAATAAAAATAATGATTTTTCACATAAAGTGGTTATGAAACTGTGTTTTTCACCGAGACCAATATTACTGCAATTTATATTTATAAGTCACAAACTAAATATTTTCAGTTATAAAATTTAAGTTTTCATCAAAATATTTGAAGCAATCAGAATTTTTTTTTTTTTATAATTTCAAACGTAAATTTTAGGACTTAAAAACATAGGACATATTTTTATCAAATTACTATGCGACTTCATGTTATCGTAAGCTACTTTTTTTTCTACAAATACTACACTTTGCACCTTGACATTTCGCTGTGCTTCCTTAATTTTTTTTTTCGATTTTTGGTGTTAATTATGTTCATTGTCAAATTTAATTGTCTGATAAATGATTAATAAAAAATTTAAATTGTTTATCAAATTGTTGAGATGGGGCCTCGTTCCATCCTGTGGGAATGGTCGCAAGAATGTCTCACATAGTTCCACTTCTCAAGCAAGTGTTTTTGTAGTTGCTAGGTAATGCCCAAGCGCTTCCTTCTTGAGCCGATGTAGTTCCTTTAGTTAGTTCCCCGGGGGTCGCACTGAAGAAAGTATCACTAGAGAACCAAAGATGACCACTAAAGAAACTCTGCGCTGCTCTGTATTCAGGATATAAGCCGAAGGACACCAATAAAATTGATGCGGCACGTTGCCGCTGTTGCACCACTCGCGGGTAGGTCTCGGCAGAAAAAGTAAATGTATAAAAGGGAGAGAGGAAAAGAAATGTCATTCGCATCGGTCCAATTAATCCTTATTTGAAAAGTTGCGTAAGTGTAAATCAATCAATGATCGGACGAACTGTTCCTTTCCAGGGCGGTGGAGGAAAAAATATTGAAAAAAGTGGAATACAAGATTATGAAATACTTGTGGAATGGAGTCGTTAGGGGGGCAGTGGACCCAAGGACCGATCAGCTTCCCATTACAGTCCTCGAAAATTATAAACACATTTCAGCAAAAAAAAATCCTCAATCGGGGAATTCTTAAGTTCACCACCTTAAAACCGCAGATTTTCAAGTTGAAGTCATATCAACATAAGCTGAAATATTCTTACAAATAAATTACTTTTACTATTCCAGAACGAAATCTCCTAATCTGTTGATAAAATAACCTACTAGAAACTTCTAATCTCATGGTAAAAGTTTTACTCTGATTAGAGCAAAACAGGTTAATTCCTTAGTCCAGCTGGATGAGAAAATATTTATACAGTGTTTTCACTGCTTCCCTCTCCCTACAAAAATAAAGTATAAAACTATTTCGGATTAAAGTTTGTTAAATTTATATAAGAAATCAAAATAATTAGTTATTTTGATGTTGAATAATTTTTATTTGCGTAGAATTTAAGTAGAAACATGGTCTAACATTCGCAAAAACAATAAATAATATCATTAAAAAATTATTTGAAATTTTAAAGGAATAAAACGATTTCCTTTGTTAATATGCAGGTGGATTTGTTGGTGTATTCTAGTCAAATTTATACGTTTTATTTATATTTACAACTTGTATTTCAGCATTTGTTAATCAAACCCAAACCTACGCCTTCAACTATTGGCTAAATCAAAAATGTGTTTTTTAGATATATTTGCATCAAGGAAAATACATTTGCGCAGGTTTAAGAAAAATTAGTAAATAGAAAATAAAATTAATACGCATCACTTTTTTACCGATACCCACCTTTCTTCCAACTATACAACAAAGCTAACAAAAAAGTTTCTGCGATATTGGCATATCTATAAAAATAAATTTACGCTTGCCTAACTTAATTTGATTAATTTGATATAGATCCATCTTCATTCCAACGCGCATAATCTTTCAAAATGTCATGAAAATCGGATAATAGATAGTGATATACCCGTCGCATCGATTTGACAAGAGAAAGCCACGGTGGGCCCAGCCCACTTCAATCCAAGAAGAAGTGGAGGAACTAATGGAACATTGTTTTAAAAAGCCTACAATTCAAAACAAATCATTCAATAACAGTAAACGATCCTGAAAAGAAGATCAAGCGTTATTCGCAGTAGTGAGGTGTTATGCTGACTTGCTTAACTTCTTACTACAGCGTATACCCGTATAACATATAAGGCACTGCAGGGTTATAAATAAATAAATGGATTTTATTACAGACTAAATACCGAACTAAATTTTATCATTGATGTTTGAAACGCAAAATGGAAAAGTTTAGATTCTGAACACAGAATTTTGTTTAACGTCTACCACATACGTGTGATATTCATCTAATATCCCTCGCTACCTTCGGTAGTGAAGAAGCAAAAATATGACAACCTCAAGATAGAATATGCAGAGTTTACAAAAATGTTCCGCAAGTTTCAATGTATATTTCAAAATTACTAAATAATATTCTTCTAAACGACTAATTTTAAACTCATTTTAACGTAGGGATTAATTAGGAATACAATACGACGTAATATTGAATGCCTTAGTTCAAACTATGCTATTAACTAAAACTATGGGCATATGTAAAAAATAAATATTATAATTTATTTTTTGCCTTCCTTTTTTGACTGAGCACCCCAACTATTCTTCTCTTCATTATCCACGACAGTCAACCAATTACCAATTATGAATATATTTATTTTTCGTTTACTAATGATATTACAAAACGGAATAACATTTATTATTAGTACTATTGTTTGAGTAGAAGTCAGAATAAGAGATGAATGGAATTGAATAACATTTCTTCTTCTCCTCCATTGAATCTTACATTATTATCGAATACGGAAATATCGAGTTCTCATTCACCTTACATTCTGATTATATTCTTAAATTATAATATATATCATATTCTATTTTGACATTTATTTAAGAAATTTATTATTATAGGCAGAGAGAAAAGTATTCTTTAAAGTCACCCACCTTTCTCTCTTCTAACATTACCGAGTCAGAAGACTTAGAGATGTTCATATTTCCATTGACTCGAATTTTAGTATTCTTTCGTAGTGCCCAAATGCGAGAGCAAAACGGATCTTGGTCTTGCGCAAGAGTCACTCAACAGTGTTGCAGTTACCTACTAGCTTATTACTTATTAGATTGTTTTGCAGATAGGAGAAACCTAACCAGGGTTGCCCATCCCCCTAAAGTCGATGACGCAAGAACCTATCCCTCCTCTCTCCCGAAGATATTTTATTAGTCAGCCTTAAAAACAAAGCAAGCTAAAGTAAAATTAGAAAACTCGTAGATCATAAACAATTATACTTGCAGCGGTCTGTTCCATGTTTTCTCCTTGTCTCTTAGCCCGAAAATTCATAACCCTGTCGAAATTTGCCCTCCTCAAAAATGAAAAAAACATTAAAATATGCCCCCCTTAAAAATTTTGATAGCGCCGAGAAACCCCTTCTGGGCACCCCTGAACCTAACTAAGCCAGAACAAAAAATTGAAAGAATTAAATACGGAATTATATTGGTTATATAAATTCTTTACATACAGTAACTACTATTGTCAAGTATAAGTAACTATTTTTTTTTACACTAGCAACACTAGTGTACATTGAGCCTTGGACTGATTGTTTTGTAAATGCACTAAGACTCCAGGAATCACGATCGGTTTACTTTAACACAAAATAAAACTATAAATAATATACCCTATAATAACAACTCAATAATAATTAAAGAAAGAATAATTAAAAATGAAGATTTTTTTTATTAATATTTCCAAATAATAGTTTTGTCGATATAATAGAGAGGTTGTATTGATATAAGTATTGATCATTGTATTGAATTATGTATCATTCTAAAGTAATTGTAAAGTATTAATGCATGTAATTATTGAATCAAGGTGACGATAGTTAAGGAGAGGTACCGTAGCAAATAAATGCATAATTCCATTTGTTAATCAACATTTTGATCCAAATTGCAGGTGTCTATCAAGGCCAACAATAATCGAAGAGGAAATTAACGTGGAACTTGGTGAATTAATAGTTATTGTGAAATCAATACGAATATCATCTCAGTTTTTAAATTCATCTTATTTTGTGTCTTCTCCGTTCCTCGTTCGTTGGAAAAAAGAAGAAGGACTACCCCTGACTATCGCCTTAGATACAGATCTCTTTTTATCAAATTATTAACGTCCACCTGAAATTTCCTAAATAGCTTCATCTCACCGTAACCTACAAATATTTTATTTATGAAAATTCTCGGAATTGGCGTTTTCAATCTGGGAGGTCGTTAAACTTTGTCTATTTAATTAGGTAATAAAAAAATCCTAAATAACCATTTGCTTTCCTCTTGGGCTTATGACAATTTGATTGTATCACCTTATAATTTATATTATAATTAATGAAATTAATATAATTTCATATTAATTAATATATAAATTTTGTTTTCAAATCCAGACGAATATCTAGAGTTAAGATTAATTCACAAAATCTGATATGCTGTCCCAATTCAGTCCGAAAATAAAAATAATGTATTGTTATATCTTATACATCTGGATCTCATTAAATACTTTAGGTATAAACAAAGTTTTGTCGGATCGAAACATTGGCTTTTAATAAAATAGTTTTGCCACTATTTAGCCTATTTATGACCGCCACCCCGGGCTTTCTCCTTCATTTAAATAATATTAGTTTTCAAAAATTATTATTTATAATTTGTTCGCCACCCTCCGTTACCTTCTACAACTTTCTATATTAGATATTGTTTTTGTTTTTTCTAAAATTCTCCGCTTTCCAACGATATATAACCTCGTTTTTGACAATTGGAGAGTGTAGGTCACGCCAAAATAAGGCGCCCTTTATTTTAGTCAATGTTCTCAAATCATTTTATGACTGTACTTAATTAAATAGACAAAGTTTGTTGACCTCCAAATTGAAATTGCTCCAGTTCCGAGAATTTCGGTAAATAAAATATTTGTAGGTTAGGATGAGGAGAGGTTATTTAAGAAGCTTCAGGAAGATGTTAATAATTTGATAAAAAGGGGTCTGTATCACGCACTATCTTCTTTATTATCACATAAGCTTATGAAGTTCATTAGAATTTTTAAAAAATGAATATTCTTTGTTGCTGATATCAAAAACTGTTGTACAGGAGGAAAAGAGCGGCCTCTCGAACATGATCTACACCCTGGGCCTCAAGTTGTTGTCTTGGTTTTGTGATATCATAAAGGGGATGAACCTCGGGGGAGGATACGAAGACTTCATCCGGCAGATTTCACCCTTCGCCGAAGGCATGATGAACAGGAATGAAGTTGAATATATACGTTAATAAATCGTTTCTTTCAATCCTAACCATTCTTATTTATCGCTGACTATTACTAAGTAAAGCGACCTGGAACGCCAATCACTCGTCATCCACAACCTCTGTCATTTCGTAACTGCAAGGATTACAGTTAGTTGTCGCGGATGAATGGTCAGACTTCTGGTAGAAAAAAAATCCTTTGTGGTCAGGAGTGGACCACACCTCACGTTGCCGGAAGAATGTAGCGACAACAAGTATAGTAATTATTAGTAATATACCTCAACTCCTGAAGGGGCTTTGTTATTTCCTGAAGATCTATCGAAAGGTTTTCTTTTGTTTCCTTCAGCAATAGATGTGATAGAAAAACATAATCTCGGGAATAAAAGCAGAAAATTAGAAGCATCATATAAAAAAGATTGATGATGGCATACAATCATAGTAACATTTCAACTATTTAATGTCAACAATAATATGTTTCAAACATTTTCAAAATGTATATTGTTTCATAATGTGGCATAGTCTCTTATAACTGGTTATCTTATAATGGTTCAAGATAAGCACACCAGTGATAGACATAGCTAAGGAAATTTTTGTCTTTTTTTTCATATCATTTATGCCGCCATAATTATTATAGTTATAAACTTCTCCGTTGTTCATTTAGAATGCCCAGGGTCTCCTTTTTGTATTTAACACTAAAATTGAAAAAAAAAATCAACTATGCAGCTATAATTAACATTTTAAAAAACACCATTTTCAGAAATGATGGATACTTCCAATTTTTTCTAGTAATGGACAGGGGGTCGGTACCAGTAATGAACAGAACTCAGAAAAGTTATAGAATCTTCATTTAACTATAAAGATAACGATAGAGAAAAGATAACATAAATGTTCAACTTACTCATAGCAAGACTGTTATTAGGAAGATATGAAACACACTGAACTCAAGAGCACTATGAAAACAACGATGATATGCATTTTAAAATTTTCTTTTAGGAACTCTGTTCATACAGTTACCACTAGAGGGCATTGTTCTTAAATCTTGAAAAAAATGGAACCTTTAAATCAACAAGGACGTTTATCATTTACATTTGAAGTCCAACCTGTCCATCACTGGCTATCTGTCCATAAAATAACTTTCGGTTTATTTTAAAAGTAATTAAGTGACCTTTCATAATTCGAAGTATTTTGATTAACTTTATTTCTGTGAAATATTAGTATTTAAGCTCAGAATGTTTTAGTATATGTATATGATATATAAATAACCTCCTTAACGTTTTTAATGGAGGGGGGAGAATCGCCCTCCTCGCCCCCCCTCGTATTCTGCGCCTATGGTTGTTAGTGGCTATTTGCTAGAAACCGACAAAAAGAATAATTTATAATAAAATAAAAATTAAATTTAAATATAGTTATATAGTAAATTGCCCTTGCATTGTTGTCTTTGAATTATAAAAAATTTCTTACGCATGTAATGAACTTTCATCGTTAAGATAGACTGGACAGGGTCAGGGATTAGAAGAAACGTAGAAAGCTTGGCGCGGTGAGGTAAAAACTGTATTGAATTCCTGTCGCTAGGTAGTTAATGGAATCACCCAACTGCAAGCTGATGGGGTAAAAGTGGATTTCGAACGAGGAAGGGAAAGAAAAATAGCTGTAGCCGACAAAGAAAAATGAAAAATTGCCATTCCTCAAGGGAAACTACAAGGATGCTGTTGTAAAACTCCTTCATAATATTCCTGTAATTATCCGGGGCATAAAATATACAAAGCTCTTAGGTTCTGTGAATAGGAAAAAAAAAAGGATAACAGTAAATAGAATTCTTCAGGATTTAGTTCTTAGGAGGAAAATAATATTGTCCTTCTAGTCCGTGACACAAGCCACTTTTTGTCAAATTATTAACATCCGCCTGTATCAAACAGAAATCATAAACAGAAGTATACTTTAATAGGAGACGTGATCTGGTCTTTAATTCGGCAAATAACATTTTAAGAAGTTGGACGGTATACAAAAAAAAAAAAATAAATAGTTGATAGAATGTTTGTTTAAAGTAATCAATGATATATAAACATTGGAAAGCAGTATACTTCTATATATTAACACATGGTTAATTATTTACGATTAGATAACACAAAATTTTTCAGAAATGAAAAAAAATTAATATATTTCAGTTTAATATAGTTCAAATTAAATTCATTATTCAAAATATCCTTAATGTTCCTTATGTATCAGATTTGGCCCAATCCAGATATCTGTCCTTCCATAATAAACTTCATAACCATCCCAACCCTCTTGTCTCTAACCTTGCTTCCTATTCGATTCCTGATAACCCTGCGAGGCGTCTGAAAAGAAGATGGCCACGTGATCTTCTAATATAGACATATTATTAGAGTGCTACCAATGGGTAGTTTCTCAACATGTGTTCCATGTCTTTATACCAATGTGCGAATTTACCAGATGTATTTTTTGTATACAGTTGTAAATATCATATAAATAAATAATAAAAAAAAATATATATTCAAAATATAAAAAAAAATGAGGAAAGATAATAATTCTGTGTGAAGCAAAAATCGTATTCATTACAAAAGGAAGAAGTAAACACAAGTGGGATCTATTCTTGGAATAGAACTTGCTTTAAGTATTGTATAATAAAAAGCTGCTTTCCTAGAATTAGCTGCTTTATTAGTAAGACATTTATGGTTATTGTTTTGGCTTGAATCCTCAATCTTCGTTCAACCCTTCTGGCTTTGAATTAGTTTGTAGAAATTTATATGTTATAAAAAAAAAAATTATATTGCTGAAAGTAAAATCCAGTCTCCCTTTAAAAATGAGAGGAGAAAGTTCTAAACATCTTATGAATCAACCAGGTTATAGGAAATCACTCATTGGGGAACAAGTAAGAAAAAAATATTCCTATCAAAGAATCTAATGCTTTTCAGAAATAACGTAATCCCCAAAAATATATTTTTTAGTGGTATAGAAAAGCAGCTTCAACACTAATTTTTGAACACTTAAAAATCTCAAACATTACAGTCTTTTCAAAATTCTTTAATTTTTAAGAAAAACGTTTGGGAATGTATAGTATTGGAAACTTCAACTTTATTAAAAATAAAGTTCTCATTATTATTTTTAATAAAAGTTATGTATCTAAAATTGGTCTGATCTATGTAATATATCATATCCACCTATGTTTCCTGCCATAATTAATTCTTTCAAACCTTCAATGCTCTGCATCATTTGATAATAAACGTTATTATAATAGTTGATTATTATTTGGAATTTCATTTTCAATGTTACATTTCAATTTTTTTTTTTTTTATCTCTCCGTTAACTCAAGATCTGATAAGATGTCGATGTATTAATGTTATAAATTAAGCAATATTGATGATTTTACTCGTTTTTAGGTGTTATTGGCAAAATTTAAGTCATTTAAATTTATACTGTACGATTTTGGACATTTTCAGTTTTTTACTGCACGTTTTCCGAAATTTTAGTGTACGAAAATTCGGTCTCTACTTATGAATATAGAATACAGTGGTGAATAGTTTCCCTTCTCTCACAATATTTGAAATGGTCCCAATCGACCCGACCTATATTTTGAATGTATCCATATGTTTACGATCATGTACGAATGTAAAATGTATTAATATTTATATTAATATAAAATATTCTGGTAAATGTACTTTAGATAAGTAATAGACACTTTAAGAGAATATTACAACATTAATGTGAATCTGAACTTCTGATGTTCTGAAGGTGGATCTATGTAAATGGGATTAATCGAAAGCAAATTTAGTCTTTTACCGATTTCATTTTTTTTTATACAGTCAATTAGTTTATTATTCATGAAAACTTAGGAAATTGTGACATATCTTGTTCCAGTAATAGACAATCAGGTTTTGGGGTTAACATATTTTAATTCCACCATTCGACCATTATCATTGAAAATTTAAGGAAAACATATAATTAAATAAAAAATAAATTCATATATAGTCACACTACCTATTCAAGAAACATGCGTTTTATGACAGTGGAATAAAAGAAAATTATCCAATGAGTCCACAATTACCAGTACTAGTAATCTTCAATGTCGAATATTACTATAATACATTTGATATCTATTTTACTACAATAAAAACATTGACTACATTGGATATGATAATATTACTACATATGATACTATTTTAATATATATTATTTATTTAACCACACCTCATATTATTTATAATGACGTTCAACCATCTCTAAACCACTATACACATGATATCCTTACCCTACAAGCCCATACTCCTCCCTCTACCTATTACTAGGTAAATAACTCGTAAAATAGATAAATTAAAGGAATGTAGAATTCTTGTTAATATGGTCACCCTCCGACGCAGATCCTGTCCACATATCCTTTTCAACTCAGTACCTCTTCCCATCTCAGTTCATGCTTAACTGAGATGTTAAGCAGTTACAGTTCGGTATCTTGGATTCATTTTACACAAAAGACTAACATGGAACCCACATAGTAGACTTAAAAGACAAGAGCTTAACCGACGACTTGGCCAGTTATACAGACTACTTAACAGAAAATCTAACCTCTCAATTGAGAACAAACTGTTTATATACAAGACCATACTGAAACCCATCTGGACCTACGAACTTGAACTGTGGGAAACAACTAAATTTTCGAACATCAAACTTCCAGTCTAAAGTCCTCCGTATAATAGTCAATGCTCCTTATTATGTTACGAACAAAACCTTACATCATGACCTCAACATTCCTTATGTTCTTGACGTTAATCCATCCCGATTTTTAAATTTTCATCAGAATCTAATCCGTCATCCTAATAACTTAGCACAATCCTTATCCAGTTCCAATCATCCCTACAATCCTCCTCGAAGCTTCAAGCGGCAGTGGCCTCGAGATCTTTTGTAAAGACGTCATTGGAGTCCTGGTGATGGCCAGCTTCTCCATTCAAGTCATGAGCGTATGTGGCTTTAGTGCCCTTCTTAGTCTCCACTAGATTCCCATCCCAGTGATGCGGGTGAGAAAGAAGCACTGGGATCT